GCCATCTGAATTCTTGCTGTAATGTACTGCCGATATATAAAATAAAAGTAGGATCGCTGAAGTAAAAAAAAAAAAAATTAAGTATTATACAACTTTGAAAAAATACATATTTTTTATATATAAGTTATTCTCAAAATCATGATCACTACCACCAATGCATTCACTATTACAATGATGGATAAAATGTGCAACATTGTGTGTGTCAACTTCACTTATAGGACAAATTTTTCGTGTATTTTGAAGTCTATATACTGGACATTCTAACTTCGTTTGATTGGTAATTTCATATCTATCAATAATAATAAAAGCAAAATGTTGATTATCTCTTTTATGGCTAAAAATTGCTCTTAGAGTCACAAAACTTTTGCCCTCTTCTTTAGAAATTATAGTTATAATATCACCAACACGCAGATAATAATGTGCATCAATTTCACCCTCCACAGAAAAACAAGCGAGCTCATAATAGCAACATAAAATTTCAAAGAATATCGATTCATAACCCATTTCTCGATATACTGATGCCAGTTCTCTACGAAAATCGGATTCATTCAGTAGACTTTCAACTTTTTTTGTTGTCTTCAAAATTACATTTAAGACATACTCATCTAATGAAGAAATAATATGTAAGATTACTAAAATTCATACAATTCAATAAAGTATTTTCAATCAAACCTTTACTTATATCCTCAGGATCAAAAGATTTTTCGATAATGAACCAATCATCCATTAAACGCTTAAATTGATGTGGAAGATTCATTAAAGTATGATTTGTAAAAGGAAAGTGTTTGTCAATACCACCATTGAAAAGATAGCGTACTGCAAACAATGTTGTACATCGTTTTAACAAGTCGAGGTCTACATTTTTCTGATTTGATCATGACACCGCATTTTTAAATATGCAGTGCACCATTTCTTTTGTTTTTACATTTGTATTTAATAAGGTAGCATAGTTTCTTGCATGCTGTACTAAATAGAAACTAGCATGTAAATTCGGAAGGTTCTCAAAATCCTTGAATGCCTATTATTAATGAATGTTTATAACAATATATCATATAACAATTTTTTTTTTTTAACCCTTCTAGCGAAGGACGCGGGAGATGTAATACTATTAATATTTTAATTACCTGTGAAAATAAATTTCTTTCTTTATCTAAACATTCACGCAATTCAATATAATCAGCATCTGTAAAGAATTTTTTAAATGCTATTGTCATTGTTTTTGCCATCAATACCCAACATTTCAGCCAAAGTTTTGCAGCTAAATCGCTTCGTGAAACTTTAGTTCGTTGCTAAAATGTAGTAAGTTCTGAATTTTTGAAATGTGAAGGGTTAAAAAAAAAAAATTGTTATATGATATATTGTTATAAACATTCATTAATAATAGGCATTCAAGGATTTTGAGAACCTTCCGAATTTACATGCTAGTTTCTATTTAGTACAGCATGCAAGAAACTATGCTACCTTATTAAATACAAATGTAAAAACAAAAGAAATGGTGCACTGCATATTTAAAAATGCGGTGTCATGATCAAATCAGAAAAATGTAGACCTCGACTTGTTAAAACGATGTACAACATTGTTTGCAGTACGCTATCTTTTCAATGGTGGTATTGACAAACACTTTCCTTTTACAAATCATACTTTAATGAATCTTCCACATCAATTTAAGCGTTTAATGGATGATTGGTTCATTATCGAAAAATCTTTTGATCCTGAGGATATAAGTAAAGGTTTGATTGAAAATACTTTATTGAATTGTATGAATTTTAGTAATCTTACATATTATTTCTTCATTAGATGAGTATGTCTTAAATGTAATTTTGAAGACAACAAAAAAAGTTGAAAGTCTACTGAATGAATCCGATTTTCGTAGAGAACTGGCATCAGTATATCGAGAAATGGGTTATGAATCGATATTCTTTGAAATTTTATGTTGCTATTATGAGCTCGCTTGTTTTTCTGTGGAGGGTGAAATTGATGCACATTATTATCTGCGTGTTGGTGATATTATAACTATAATTTCTAAAGAAGAGGGCAAAAGTTTTGTGACTCTAAGAGCAATTTTTAGCCATAAAAGAGATAATCAACATTTTGCTTTTATTATTATTGATAGATATGAAATTACCAATCAAACGAAGTTAGAATGTCCAGTATATAGACTTCAAAATACACGAAAAATTTGTCCTATAAGTGAAGTTGACACACACAATGTTGCACATTTTATCCATCATTGTAATAGTGAATGCATTGGTGGTAGTGATCATGATTTTGAGAATAACTTATATATAAAAAATATGTATTTTTTCAAAGTTGTATAATACTTAATTTTTTTTTTTTTTACTTCAGCGATCCTACTTTTATTTTATATATCGGCAGTACATTACAGCAAGAATTCAGATGGC